ATTTCGTGCATTCTAAAAACAATTGTAACCATCTACTTTCTTGTATATATTGTTCTGAGAATCATTATTCGGCCTCATGCCCTCCAGAGGACGACCCTCCAAAATGTAAAAACTGTGACGGGGTCCACAGAGCTGATATTCGAACAATAGAATGTTCATATTTTAAAACAATTTTGGAAAATATATCAAAAAATTTCTACTATGCACCACAAAACTCGAGAACTAACCGTCAATCCCCTACCCCTAACACCACTCTTATTTCCCCCAAACTTTCGTAACACAACCCGCATACCAAATTTAACCTATGTATCGGCAACTGACCAGCAATCAAACAATACCACCCGAAACCAATCAGCTAACAACTCCAAATAATATCTCCCCCAAAATAACTCATCTCAACATAGTTTCTTAAATTCTCCATTCGTTCACAATATCATCAATTCCATATCTACACATTTAATTAATATCATAACTCTATTACACCAGTAATTGTTCAAAATATCCAACAAGCCATAGCCTTCTATATTAGCACTGCCCAGGGCGCGCCCTGAGTTCTATCATTCATTAAATCTTATGAATTGGAAGGAATCTAGTATCAGCAATAAAAAAAATAGAACTCGAAATAGAAATAGTATTTTTTACAGTCCAAAAAACACAGACATTGCTTGCATCACTAAATCACATCTAATAACTTCTTCTCTGTTTTATTTTCCAGGATGTAACGTAGTTAGAGAAGTTAGAATACACTCACCAGTTCTCATTTTAATCAAAACTACTGTTCCATTTCACCAAATAAATCAAATGCCTCTCACTGGACTTGAACTAATGGCAATTTCTCACCCCTGCATAAATCAAATTATAATTGTAGCGTATAAACCACCCAATATAACGCCTATTTTCGCCAGCTTAAGTAACGTAATCACATCTCAGTCACCCACTATACTCTTAGGTGACCTCTATGCTAAACACTCTTTCTAATGGTGCAGAGTCACCAATGCCGCTGGATTCCAACTATACAATCACATACGAACTAACAGATTAAGATTAATATCTCCCCCTGAACCCACATACTATCCTCGTGACTCAAACAAGCTTCCATATATTTTAGATATTTAAATTACGAATTAAAAGCCCAGCTTTACTCAACTCCTCACAAGGAACTTGACTCGGACCACATTCCGGTCATTTTCACAGATGAGGCCCTCCCCACACTCTCGCCTAAACCAGCTCTTAACACGTATAACTAAAACGGGGTCAAATTTAAGAAAATAATTAAATCCAAAACACCTAAATTTAAATTCTAATCACCTCGTCTGAAATAGATCGAGAAATAATAAATTTAAACAATCTAATAACAAAACTGCAAAATACTAAAATCCCAAAACCCCATCACTACGTAAAAACGCACCCATTGATCTGTCCAAAAGCTTAATCAAAATAATTCAAAACAAAAATTAAAAGAGAAGACTGACTAGCTCTTCGAGCCCCGAGTTCCAAATCAGAATTAAATCTATTAACAAATACCTGCCGAAAAGCAATAGCATATTTTCAACAGACCAAATATAACCGTCTAATACAACCTTTAACCATTCAAAACAAATCAATTTGGAATTTTTCTAAAAGGATACTAAAAGAATAACCCCCCTTTAACTACCACCAATGGTAAAAAATATTCTACAAAAGAGAAAACTGAAGTTTTAGCCGAACGTTTTGCCGAGACATTCTCTCCCAACATCTCCTCTCCCCATCCAGATCATTCCCAAATCCTAAACTATGCCCATTCCTCTAATTACAATATACCCCAAAAATTTAAATTAATATTCTCAGGAAATTACAAACATCATTAGAACTCTCCTAAATAGAAAAGGCATCTGGTCATGACAAAGTTAATAATATTTTTTTAAATTACCCCAAAACATTATCACCAAATGTTAACTCATCTTGAAACATAGGATATTTCTTCAACTTAGAAGACATTCCTGTTCCTATGCATCCTAACCGAATAAAAACCAAGATCAGCTAATTCAGGATACACTCACTACGACACGTCAGTCTCCCTATCCATTAACAAAGAATATTCGAAAACTCATCCCTTGCAAGATTGGAATAAATACTTGAACAAAATAAATCTCATATCTACCTTTCAGTTTGTATTCACCTATAAAATATCCACAGCGCACCCAGCTCATACGCATCACTTAATACCTTCATACATCATTCCAAAAAAACATCACTTTATAGCAGTATTCATAGCTATTATCAACGCCTTCGATCAAGCGTGGCACGTAGAACAAATATATAAATTACCGTCAATTCGAACCCCAATATACCTCTTTAAAATCATTAAATTCTTCCTCACAATCAGAACTTTTCCAGTCGTAATAGAGAACCACACCTTAAACCCACGCCTCATAAAAGCAGGACTTCCACAAGGATCCCATCCCCTCTCTCCCCACTGCTAGTCAACGTCTATACAGCGGACATTCCTACCTCCAGATTAACCCAAATGGCCCAATTTGCATATGACACTGCAATATACATGTCTCATCTATCATTAAACTTTATAGCAAATGAAATTATTCCTCAAAATGGAAGATAAAAATCAATCCCACCAAATCAGCCGCCAAAATATACACATTCAAATCTTTCTCTCTTCCCATACAATTAAATATAAATCCTAATATAATTCAATGGACTCCAAATATTAAGGCAGTTCAATTTTAAGAACTAAATCTGAACAACACCCTCACATAGAAAGCAAAGTTCATCAAGCCAAAATGAAAAAACTTCAACTGAAACCATTCATTAATATAACTACTAAACGGTCTATAAACAATGCCATAAACTTATATAAATTAATCATTGAACCCCACCTCATGTAGGCCCAACCAATATAAACAAATGTTTGCAAATACAACTTTCAAAAATTGCAAGTCTTCAAAAACAATATCATAAGATTCATCACCCAAGTTTCATAGTCCATTTCAAACAAGCAACTTCACACAGAATTACATATTAAACCATTTTCTCACCATAATGTCTACCTTTCCAATAACTTTTACTCGAACCTACAATTCATCATCCTAAACAGAAATCTCAAACAGGGTAAATACACAGCACGTCAACTTTTAGATATTCGTATATACCCTCTTGAGAAATAGACGGATGAAAGGTTTTGTAGATCACAGAGAACTTTTTGTTGGTTGTGTCCTTGTAAGTGTGGAACTGTTTATTAGTGCTTGTAAAATATTTAATAGCTCTTCTCAAGTCTTCTATTTGGATAAAGTTAATTTTTGCTTTGGTGTCATTCAAGGTTGATGTAAACTGGTTAGTGATGTGGGTTTTAACTTCATTATTTAGTTCTATAATGTTTTCAATATTTTTAATATGGATGGGAAGTATTCTAATATTTTCAGAAACGGTGAAGTTTCGGGCTACGGAACTTGATTCACTTTCTTGCAGGTCACTTAAAGGGTCAAATCTATTTTTAAGAGTAAAATCATAATCTTTAGAATGGCTAAACACGATTTTTAATTTGGTTGCATGTTTAAATTTGGATTACTATGCCCTCGCTTACCACTGGGCCCTTGGGAAATTGGTTCTGCACATGCGCTGGTATTACAGTTGCACTTAGAAGAACTCGCAGAGCCGTTGGCCGGCAGATAGTTACTGACCTTATTTAGTCGACCATTAACATCGTCATGCGGCATTGTTCCACTTAACATGAGAGACTGATACGATGGAGTGGAGATAACCGCTGATCTAATTGATGTTGTTCTAGTAGATTCTCTGGAATTTGTTGGAATGATGTTTCACAGGCGTCGCCTTCTTGGTAAGTGACCTCCATTTCACCCTCGGTCGGGTAGACCTGAGCCAGAGCATCTACAATACACTGGCGAATGCTAGCGTTGTGGGTTGAAAATGTTGCACTAGTTTGTTAGAATATTAACACCACACTATTTGTGACAGCTGTTGATAACTGTTACTGTGGCACTATAACTTTCACCAGAAACAGAACACAGGTACGAGGCGAGGCGAGGCGCAGCGCTGTGCGCGTAGGTCTGTACTGTGCGACTGCTCGCGGCGAAGTGTGGAGGTGGGGAACTGTTCACTTTGTCCCTGTTTCACCGCCGGGAGTCGAAGTCTAGGGCAGGGCCGTTTTGTCGCCGTTTTGTCGCTTACCATTACGTAACTTTCTCTCTACTCCGTAGCGAGTTCGCACAAAATGTAGAATCCAAATACACACGTTTTATCACAACAGCACCTCGCAGTTCCAAATCCGTAATCGAAATGTACGAAGCTATAATACCAGAATACTGGAGATGCGCATAAACGAAAGCCGATCACAGTAATCAGAACAGAACGAGAAAAGATGCAGCAGGGTCGATATGTACAGTACAATAGGCAGTTTCAAAACCTTATAACTCCATATAACGTTGTGAGAACCATTACGGTGGCGCGGCCTGCTGCATCACCTTCTTTACATGAACTAAAACACGAACTGCTGCAACGATACTTAAACATACGCGCTACTGTGTAGTTCGCGGTTCGCAATCAGGCCCATAATGTTACAAAAGATAACGTCTATGTTCGGGCATTATTCAGAGGTTTTTATAAGTGTATGATTATGATAATTAGACATTTATATAGACACTTTTCGTATTTTCTCACAAATTAGCCAATTTGTATGTGGGAAAGTTCGGCAGCGCTAACCTGGCAGCTGCACCTGGGTGACACTAGCTGCTTCCTATAGTAGCAACCTCGAGCTTTGTCCCCAGTTTTGATGGAGAGTTGCCGGGCCCTGCTCTAGGGCCAGAGGCACTGAGCCGCCTTTGCCCTTTGCAGGGATTATTGCCTAATTGGTCCTTTTGGCCTTGAGTCCTAAGGCGTTACCCCTACTCTCACTGCCACGGGTGTTGGTTTGCAAGTAAAAGAGGAAGAATCAAAGCTAGGAGTGAGGCTTCACTTCGGAAACGTCTGGCCTGGCTAAGAGGAATATATTGATTGACTGGACGATTATGAAATATTTATTTTAGAGTAAATTGTTACAATTCACAACATAATGCTTTCCGTTTTAGAAAATACATATTTTGTTTTATTTTTGTTATATTATAAATTGACAACATTTATTTGTCTCTGTAGGATATAATTGAGATGATATTCAATATTCCTTGGTGTATGTTCGTATTAAAAAAATAATTGGGGCTTACGAAAATTTCCAGCGTCTGGTAAATCAACTAACTACATGTCAATAAAGAAAAAAAAACATCTTTTTTGTTTGTACTGTATATTTCAGCTATTGATTAAGTATAATAAGAGTATCATAACACGTTAATTGGGTATTCATAATATGCAATCCCATGTTTTTTAAAGGGGTTTGCATGCAAACAAAATTTTCAACTATGAAAAGAAGTTGAACAAAGAAAACATTTACCCAGGACTGATGTAAAAGCATTGCCACAGGATTGTACACTGAGGCTGTCTCCACGCTCTTTGACGAACAAAAACAATCGCGAAAAATTGAAGCATGAAAGCCGCAAGCCAGCCCTACCTGGAGTCTAATTATATAGTAATGGTGCTATCGGGCCAACCTCTAGGCTGCTGACAAAATAACCACTACCACGCCAATTAGGAAGCAGAAAGCGAGAAGCAAAATCTATCCTAGGGGTGTCATTTCAATTCCGATATTTTCAATACACTGATGTTTTTATAGAAACAGTGTTGTTTAAACATCGGTTTATTAAAGAAAGTGTTTTTAGCATCGATGTTTAGCGCTCGATGCATCCTTTTACGTTTATGATGCGAATGAAAATTCCATAATCACAATTTTAAAAGTGTAAAGAGTAAAAAAAAGAAAAATAACTGATTGTATTATTAGCAGTTTGTGTTCAAACCGTCGATGTTTATTAACATCGAATATTTGATTTTGAACATCGATGTTTATTAATTTCGTCTATTTTATTTTCAACAACGATGATTATTAATATCGACGATTTAATTTTGTATATTGACGTTTATTAACAATATCACTTTTATTTTGAACATTGATGTTTATTAACATCGACGATTTAATTAAGAACATCGATTTTATAAACATCGTCAATTTAATTTTGAACATCGATGTTTATTTAACGTCGTCGATTTAATTTTGAACATCGACGTTTATTAACATTGGTGATTTAATTTAGAATATTGATGTTTAATAAGATCGAAGATTTAATTTTAAATATCAATTTAATTTAATTTAGAACATCGATTTTATAAACATCGACGATTTAATTCTGGACATCAGTGTTTATTAACATCAGTGATTTAATTTAGAATATTGATGTTTAATAATATAGACGGTTTACTTTTAAACATCAATACATAAGAACATCGGTGATTTAATTTAGAATATTGATGTTTAATAACATCGGCGGCTTACTTTTAAACATCAATACATAAGAAACATCGGTGACTAAATTTAGAACATCGACGTTTAATGGCATGGGGGACTTAATTTCAAACACGAGTGCTTTATGGTGGGCGTGACGGCAGGTTCCAGGGCGCGCTCACGGGAGCGCTCCGGCCGCCTTGAGGATCTCCACCACCTGGGTGCGCTGGTTGCGCTGCGCCCACGACAGCGCCGTCAGCTGGTTGACCTTGTTGCGCGCGTTGACGTCGACGCCGCTGGCGAGCAGCAGGCGCACCACGTCGGCGTGGCCGCGCTCCGCCGGGTGCATGAGCGCGGTGAGGCCGTCGGGCCGGACGGAGCGCGGGTCGGCGCCGGCCGCCAGTAGCGCCTGCACCACACGCAGGTGGTCGCTGTTGGCGGCCCAGTGCAGCGCGGTGGCGCCCCAAGTGACGTCCCGCGCCTCCAGGTTGGCGCCGGCCGCCAGCAGCGCCTGCACCACCTGCGGAGGGGACGAGAAGCGGTTGGATTATTATGGTGTCACATATTCCTATCACTGTTTTTTTTATCGAGATGCGTTCCATATCGTAACTTGTGTACATTGATATTACGTAATTAATCGGTTTTAATTCTGTCAACTGTTTAAAATATTGTGTTTATTTTTTTTGACATTTTAACTAAAGCTTAAAGATGGAAATAACGGTTTCTTAAACGTTGCTATTGTAAATGTCATTTATGTATTACAGAGATTGGTATAGTGCATACATATTTTATTATTTTGATCTTAATCTTCTATCCAAAATACAGATATTTTGTTTATAAAATAAACACCAACTACAGTTTGACAAATGTTGTTAAATCTACAGACAGGAAGGAAAATAATTTAATACTAAATCTACAGCGTAGAACAGTCGGCTTTACTTCCCCTCCGAAGGAAGGCGTTAGAAGAACTTTTTCGCACATAAAAATCCACGGGTCCGACGAGTATGATCCCGCAAACGTAGGTACAACAGCCCGACGCCCTAACCGTTACACCACCTAAGCAATAAATACCGCTATTAGGAAAAGATTTTTTTTCACAGCTTTCTGGTACAACACAAATATTTCTACCAAAACATGATTTCCATAGTACAATAGTTTTAACAAATGTATATTTAATTTAGGAACTAATTAGAAGGTAGGCAATTCTACAAATATAAATTTAAACCTTAAATTAATTTATAAATTGAACAGTTAATGATTTATTTAAGAACCCAAAAAACACGTGCTCACGATCACAGGTATTGTATCATGATGTTAGTTTATGTATATTGATTCGGTATGTGGATGATGTTCGTCTCGATCGCCAGATTATTCAGAGAGCACATCATGACGGTAGGTATTATACCTGCCTCTGAGAGGACGATCAGCATCATCTCCACGTCCGACACATGCCACTGCACCTTTACAACTTGTGCTAATACTCTATACTTTTGAATTTTCTTTTTGAAATTTCTTGAATTTCCCCAGTCATTTCAATGAATTTAGACAAGTTATTTCTCAAATTTGACGGAACAAAGCCCAGAGCTCTATAACTATTCTGACGATTCACGCCTCACATTCAGCTGATCTCGATTTCCAAACTCGTGTATTTAAGACGTTTTAATGGTTTTTGTTGACACCGGCCACGAGCAATCCCTTCATCATCTACGAATTCAATGTTAGTTAAGGTCAGGGTGGCCATATTTTTGGAATTGTATTAACAAAGTCGGGATTTTGTTTTGTTGTGGGAAACGAAAGGGAACATAAATTGACGGGGATTTTTTGGGGAGTTTATTTTGAACTACTAAACTACTGGAAACTACTGGAAAACTACAAAAATGTTCGAAGAAATGTATGACCTTCATAAAAGAATAAAATTTGAACAAAACATTTTATTTGAATGAAACATCTCATCTTAAATTTTGTAGTATCAGAAACACTCCGAAGAATGCAAACTTTTGAAATTTTCAAGCATTGAGAATTCACAGCGAATATCGGACCTATGACACCTTTATACTCTATTCTTAGAAGAAACTTACAGTAAAAATTTGGAGCCATGTTTGAGAAAATTTTGAAAATTTACCAGTTATGTAAAGTACCTCCCAAAAACTATTGAATGATTTTCAAAATTGCAGAGCATCGAATCAGCCAAATGGACATTGGTTTCTTTTCTTTGGAAAAATAATCTACGCATGGTTTAGACACTAGTGTTGTTCACATATACCAGACGGGTGGACAGGCGGACGGACAGACGGACGTACCGACAGATGGACAGACAGATGGTCAGACAGACGGACAGACGGATGGACACAAGGACGGACAGACGTCGGACAGAGGGACGGACAGACGGACGGACAGACGGACGGACAGACGGACGGACGGATGGACGGACGTTTTGAAAAAACATTTTTTCGGTATCTCGTGACCGCAAAACGTCTATTTCCGTCGAAATCTCGAAATCGATTTTCCGCACCATTGCTTTCCCTATACAACGAACATTACTCCGTTACACGCATGCATACGGGAACGTAACATTTCTTGAGGCCCCGAGCCCTGCGGAACCCCTGTCCTCACCTCGAGGCGGCCGTGGGCGGCGGCGACGATGAGGGCCGTGGCCCCTTCATGCGAGGCGATCGCGGCCTCCTTGTCGGCCCCGGCCTTGAGCAGCGCCAACACGCAGCGCAGGTGGCCCTGCTGCGCCGCGAGCGCCAGCGCCGTGGCGCCGTCGGCCGCCGCCGCGTTGGGGCCCACGCCCGCCGCCAGCAGCGCCTCCACCTGACGGGGGAGGGGTTGCGTTGGAACTAGACCCGCTTCTTCATCAGAAGAAGAATACCGTACTCACGCGAATGGAATGCGCCACCGAATCTAATGCACACCTGTATTTTAAATTTGGAATTATGGTTTTGAAGCGAAAGGTATTTCATTTCAATTTGTGTAATACAGCAATGGATTTATCGTAAAAATAATTAGCACTCTTACTGCGAACTGCTTTACTGCGAACTGCTTTACTACGAACTGCTCTACTGCTAACTGCATTACTGCAAATTGTTTTACGCTTTAATGAAGCATCATAAGATATTCTTCTTTGTTTTGTTATCCATATAGTAACAAAAATACTCAGTAATAGGGCACTAATAATTTAAACAAAGTTGAGTTTGAAAACTCCAGTAATACATTGAGATTTAACAAACGAAAAAAATTGAAGTCACTGGCGTTATACACAACGGATTTGCATTTGAATATAATGCGCACTATGATTTTGAGTGCTATATTCGTCCAAAAATGTGCACATTAGATTCGCGTAAATACGGTACTGTATCATTAAAATGTCACAGTTCCTCTTTCATCCTCAGGAACTCTTTTAGGCCATGGCACACAGACCTCTGTTTTCTTCTCTTCTTACCTCTTCTTCTCCCCTGGCGTCGGGCTCGCTTGGCTGTGAGAGGTTGGGTCATGATACATCCTGGGGTTACATACCGAGGAACGTGTCATTAAATGAAGGCGTATTACTTTTCTCTACACTGATTTATTGCATACTGGATTATTTATAAAATGATTGAATTATTATTAAAAGATTTACGAGTTGTAAATGAATGAATGCATTTATTTTATAGGTTTATAAAAATACAACCGTTGAATAATAATATACATAATAAAAATATACATACTAAACATACATAAAAAGACATACTAAACATACATAATACAAAATTCATGCTAAGAATATAATAATACTATACATGTTACGCCCTTTTCTATATTTATCAAAACCACTGATTCATTCACCTTCATATTCCTCTAATAACCACCTCACCTTGCCCATATTCTTCCTCAACAACCAGAATTCTCTCTAAAATATGTTTCCAATCGCCCTCTTGCATCCCAAAGATCTTACATCTTTTCCTCGCTATTAGGCCACTATTTACTCCCTCTCAATTCATTACCTAACCTATATCCTACGTCTGTCACTTTTCTTGATTCCTCCTATGTAGATCAGCTCCTATCTATAACTCCTAGTTAGAAGTGATCCAAGTGACTAAAGACTTCTTGGTGGAAACAGATCTCGTCATACCTGCGCTGACACATCATACCGATCGCCCTCGTCCTTTTCTAGCCAGTAGCACTCGCTTATTTTCCTTCCCCGGCCATCTTCTCCCCTCGCTCTTCGCCCTCGATCGACCAGCGCTCAACCCTGTGACGTAACTAGCCCGGGAGGACTAACTACTTCCGGGGACCCGGTTCAAAAACTAAATTGGGGTCCCCCTCAAAAAGGTTTATCCAACAAAATAAAAAAAATTAAAACTAATTGAAATGAATTGCATTAATCGTAATCTATCACAAAATTACATGCAGTGAAGAGGAGGTATTGTGCTCCTTCTGAACATCACAGGTTGTGTTCAGAGCACTTTGCATCTGAAAACGTCTGGAAAGATGGGAAAAATGGAACCTGAAAGAGACTGAAGTTCCTTCTAGATTTAATTTTTCTCATCAAAATCTCACCAAAGGTATGTTTTTGATGTATGTTCTGGGTCTGATGATTAAAACTAGGAAGTTCATACTATCACATTTTTTTTGTGAATTGTCTTGTCTTTCTGATATTTATATGAAAGTTTCATCACAAAATATTAAGTCTGGGGTAGAATAAGTTTTGCATATATGCACGTTTTGCATACTTTTTAAGATTTTTTCATAGATACTATTTATTTGCAAGTTTTCTATCAGCTATATTTTTGTAGTAGATATACCGTTCACGTAAAAATACCCAACCTAAAACATCGATGTTTAAAAAAACGGATATAAGAAACCGATGTTGAATACATTGATGATTTTATAAAACAACTCTATATTCTGAAGTCATATTCCTCGATGTCTCATGCATAGTTCGCATCATGGTGGAAAGAGACTAGTGCGCCATTGCGCATCGTATCCGACTTCAGCCAAAAAACATCAGGCACCAGTTGACGTCACTATATAACAGAGAATTTTAAATGCCAAAATTATCTCTTTGTTAAGTTCTTGAAGCAGATATAGAAAGCATTTTTTAAAAGTAGTGCTTGTGCACCATTATTGTGTTATTTTTGATTGGTCACCGTTAAACATTGTCACTTTATGCTACATTCAAAATGTTTTTCAATAGTACTCGCTCTCTGTGCAACATGGCGGCCAGAGCCTGGCTTGACTATTAAAACGACGTTTACGCGTTGTTGTGGTCACGTGGTTCGCGACGCAAAATGACTCTGCGCAGAACGAGCCAAAATCGGTGCATTGGAACAGCTTGCTTGTCTCTGTCCATCACTGCTAGCGTATACTAGGATTTAATTAATCGTGCACTTGACGTAAATGAATTGTTTACGGTTTCAGCCAACCGGGAGCTTCAACGTCTCCATCGTGACGTCACTGTAGTGACGTATAAGCTCCCGATTGGACGAAACCGCAAGGGGACGACTAAATAAAGCGTGCTGTAGGCGCTGTCTCTCACCCGTCTCTGTCCACCACTGCTAGCGTTTACTTGGATTAGAATTAGCCGAGCACTTGACGTAAATGAACTGTTTACGGTTTCATCCAATCGGGAGCTGGAACGTCTCCGTCGTGACGTCACTGTAGTGACGTGTAAGCTCCCGATGACGAAACCGCGCGGTCTCTCACCTGCGCGTGGTGCCCTTCGTGGGCAGCTGCCGGAGTCGCTTGGCTTCCCACTGCGCGCCGCGAGCGCGGGCTGGCCGTCGCTCCCTGAGGGCGAGGCGCAGGCGCCCTGACCCGAGCGCCGCGCCGCCAGCGTCCCGGCGTCCGCCGGCCCGCCCCTCGCCCGCAGCAGCGCGCGCGCCGCCGCGCACGCGCCCCTCGCCAGCGCCCGGCGCAGCGCGCCCACGCCGCGCGCCCCGCCCACGCAGCCGCCGCCGCGCGCACCGCCAACTGCGGCGCAACGCGCTATGCGTCTCACGCAGCGACTAACGACACGGGCCGCACTTTCAGCCGCAGCGACACACAACGACACGGCACTCTTTCAGCCGAGCAACGAACGACACGGCGCCTTTAAGCCGCCAACGCCGGCCCTTTCAGCCGCAGCAACACAAGCGACACAGCCACCTGTCAGCCGCAGCAACAACGACACAGGCCACACTTCAGCCGCAGCAACGAACGACACAGGCCACACTTCAGCCGCAACGACAAAGGGCATTGGCCGCCCTTCAACCGCAACGATGAAAGGCATTGATTGCACTTCAACCGCAACAACAAACGACACAGGCCACACTTCAGCCTCAACGACAAACGACACTGGCCACACTTCAGGTGGAACGACGGAGGGCATTCGCCGCACTTCAACCGCAACAACACGGAAGTTTGGCCACACTTCAGCCGAAGGATCACTGGACAATGGCCACACTTCAATCACAGCAACAAAAAACATTGACCACAGAAACGAAGGGGATTGGCCACACTTCAGCCGCAACAATGACGGACGTTGACCAAACTTCAATCGCAACAACTAAGGATGATGGACACACTTCAGCCGCAACGACAAAGAACATTGACCACAATTCAGCTGCAAGAACAAAAAACACTGGCCACACTTCAATCGCAATAACAAAGGAAATTGGCCACATGTAAGTCGTAGCAACAAGGGATACTAGCCACACTTCAACCGGAATGGCCATTATTCAGCCGCAACAACAATGGACATTGGCCACACTTCAGTCACAGCAACAAAATACATTGGCCACACTTTAGCCTCAATGACAGAGGTTGACTTATGAAATGAGTGATTGGCCTCATAGAAATCATAAGAATAAGACTGATTGGTCACACTTGAAGCACAAGAATGAGGGTAGTGGCAAAAGAATATTTTTTTTACCATTTACATACCAGCTAGTGGAGAGATGAGTGAAGAGAGAGAACGCGAGAGAGGAGGAATATGAGAGTGATAAGTGAAAAGAGAGGAAAAGAGGGGAGAACAGAAGAATGTGAAAACGAGGGAGGATACAATGAAACATAGGAGGGAAAAGGAAGAGAAAGAAGAAGAGAAAAGGGAACAAGAGAAAGAGAGAAGGGGAAGAGATAGAGCAGGACGTCTGCCGGGGTTTGCTAGCTATATTGAAATCGGGGTAGTGTTTGCTGGCAAGTGGGTAGCTAGGCTAGTGCAGCCTGTGAGCGGTTCCGGGACCCCCGGAGCCAAGAAGCTGCCCAACGACTGCCAATGAGGATGGAAATGGCAAAGGGGCTCCACCTAAATGTTAATGAGCAGACTTGTGGGCAAAACCTAATTAGTGAACATGCTCCCTCCCAGAAAATAGTAGCTATTTTGGAAGTAATATATATATATATAAACTAATTGGATTTGGAAATAAAACATATTTAATAGTCCTGTCATCGAAATACACCCCCCCACTCCTCTCGCATCTAGCTAAGTGAGGGCACAAGAAAATTGATTGATTAGTGCTTCCGGTCTAAGGCTATTAACCCCGTAAGTGAAAGGTGAGGTTCGACGCCTATCTAACCGTCGGCTAGCGGGTTTTTCCCCAATCAAGTATCTCCCAGCGGCGTAGTCTCAATCGGACTAAGCTCAAAGCTTCCATCCCGGCATGGGTGGAGTGAAGCAAACGTAAGATTAAGTATACGTGTGTGTACATAAGGGGTGTGAATAGGATATGGATGGGAGAGGAAAGATTGCGCGCGGTCCGCGGCCCGAGGTACTGCAACAGAATTCGCCTGGTGTTGATTTGAGAAATCACGAACAGATCTACCAACCGGTAGAATTCTCCTCCCGACAGCTTCTGAATTCGACCGCGTTGACAAGCTAGCGTCGCATATTC